GTCTTACTTCAAAAATACCCTATGTAAATATTCATCTGTTACGGGTCGCAATTCTAAATGCGCATACTGGTTTATAATATCATCTAATCATCCCTGTCCGATTTTGCTTATTAATCAGTGGTGGTGCACTAAAAAACTTGTCCAGTCACCTGGCCTCGAAATATTAATTCCAGAACCGATATGTATTTGCAAAGTCAACTTTAAATGTATAGATGTATAATTGATGTTGGGGTTTTAAAGGCGTTACTACATTCAAAATAACATGGACCACTTATTACGGTGCGATTGTTAAATGTTTTCTTTCCCTCATATTGGAAAGTTCAGAAGTTCGGACCGCTACATATGTACATATCATGTCCAGTTAGAGGATTTATAGCATTAACAAAACTAATATCTAATGACTATTCGATTACCAAAAATTTGATGTTATTTTTTGTAATTTGTCATTTTCATGATTTCACCAACTCTATCCTTAGGGCTACATACATCACACATTGCGTTACCTGTCTTCTTTGGGCTTTAATATTTATAGAGTATTTATTGCGAAGGGATAATAAAACAGTTCGCTTGGGTATATGAAAGAGAAAAATTCTGGTTTTTCCCGGGTTTTTCCAAAATACTTATGAATACTCTACTTTGAACAGGTACCTGTATCTTTAACTGACAATGACCATAATAAAAAGGGGATTACCGCAATACTGCGAACTAATCCCCTGGCATAAAATCGAAATTGCACACAGCATCTTGCAATAAAATGTGCTCACATGCAAATCGTGGATTTTTGTCTGTTACATTTTATGACGATTATCTATGAAAATGTTTTCTGGTTTTCCCCAGATGTTCGGTGAGTCAGCCCATTAATATGAATTATGATTCGAGAGTTTTTGGTAAATTTGTTCAGAAAATGTATTTTTTAATTATCGCACTGAAAATCAAAACGACAAATATTGGCTGATATTACTTTTGAAATAACGGTTAGTTCAAACTAGCACTGTTTGAGACTCCTGCATACATTTGTATACCCTACAACACTATGTGTTAGGGGTATTATAAGTTTGATTGGACCAAAAATAATGTAAATCTAGCTATATGTGTCCGTCCGTCTGTCCATGTTAATTCTCCTATAAATCCTATTCATTAAATCGGAAATTACAATGATTTTTATATATATTATAGGGTACCACATGGTCAGCCCAGCAAGGCTATATCCCTTGCTTACTTCTTAAAATTTTTTTTTGAGGCGATTATTTGTTAAGACCTACCTTGTGTACCTCGGCATGCGTTGATATTGTGTTGTCTTATAAAATGTATTCATATTTCAGACGCAGTAAGAGAGTGATGGCCCCTAAATTTTTGAAATAGTTTGAGTTATGGAAGGGCTGAAGTTTACAATTTTGGAAGGTCATCGAATAATATAAGGCTAGTGTATATTCACCATGAGAAAGGCCAGAATTCGCACTCAATCAAATATGTGAACCTTTAATTTGTGAATATATAATTTGATACAGAAAAATGTAGCTCATATATCTTTGTACGGGACATGATTAGGGACATTTATAGTTTAATCTTTAGTCGATTTGCAATTTTTATATGATTATACAGGGTGAGAGGAAGAAACTGCAACCAACTTCAGACTGCTGTCATTTCTAAGCCACTCGTCCGACAGCTGCAAAAATTATTCCAGTGACAGTGACAGTGCGTTACCGTGATACTGATAGCGTAGCCCGACGTCAGGAATGTGGATGAAAGAAAACAGCAACATCAGCAGAAATGGTTCTAAAAGTAAAGGAGAGACTTGATAGAAACCCGCGTCGCAGTGGCCGAAAAATGGCTCGTGAGCTGAACATATCGCAATATTCCATTCAGCAAATATTGAAAAATGAGCTCGGGGTAAGTCATTGAAATTCCAAAATGTGCAAGAACTTACATCGCAACAGAAACTCAAAAGACTCAAAAGAGTTAAAGAGTTGCTTCGCTTGGCTGAAAGTAGTGAACTGCCGAATTTGATTTTCTCCGATGAGAAAACATTCGCAGCAATTTGTTAACAAACAAAATGACACGATCATTTTTATATCCTACACCACAAGGTGGTCAGGGTATTATGTCTTTGTGTATTTGTTTGAGATAGACCCATAGTTCCTTTTGATGATCTGCATAGAATCACTTTCTGAGTTGATTTATGCATGTCAGTCCGTCTGTCCGTCTGTCCATGTATTCTTGTGAACAAAATGCAGGTCGCATTTATTATCCGATTGAGATGAAATTTTGCAAAAAACATTTGTTTGGCCCAAGGACGAACCATATTGAAATTGGAGATAATCGGTAAAAATTTAGATATAGCTCCCAAATATATCTTCGTCCGATTTGCCTTTTATTGTGCACCAAACGTGTAATATCAGCCCGAATAGTATGGAATTTTGCACATACAACCAAATTAGGCCTGAAAATAAGTATGCCAAATTTTATCGATTTTCTCCGATGAGAAAACATTCGCAGCAATTTGTTAACAAACAAAATAACACGATCATTTTTATACCCTACACCACAAGGTGGTCAGGGTATTATGTCTTTGTGTATTTGTTTGAGATAGACCCATAGTTCCTTTTGATGATCTGCATAGAATCACTTTCTGAGTTGATTTATGCATGTCAGTCCGTCTGTCCGTCTGTCCATGTATTCTTGTGAACAAAATGCAGGTCGCATTTATTATCCGATTGAGATGAAATTTTGCAAAAAACATTTGGCCCAAGGACGAACCATATTGAAATTGGAGATAATCGGTAAAAATTTAGATATAGCTCCCATATATATCTTCGTCCGATTTGCCTTTTATTGTGCACCAAACGTGTAATATCAGGCCGAATAGTATGGAATTTTGCACATACAACCAAATTAGGCCTGAAAATAAGTATGCCAAATTTTATCGAAATCGGTTCAGATATAGCTATAGCTCCCATATATATTGTTCATCCGATTTGTTATTTTTGTCCTCCGCAGCCGTAATATGCACTCTGTAACAACAATATTTGGGGAAATATATCAAATGCAGCTCAGAAATACCTTTGCTAAATTTTATCGAGATCGGTTCAGATTTGGATATAGCTCCCATATATAACTTCGTCCGATTTACAATTTATTGTGCACCAAACGTTTAATATTTGTCCAAATGGGATGGAATTTGGGCAATTAATTGTGCACCAAATGGGCAATACAAGTCCGAAAGTCTGAAAATGCGCACCTTCGACTGGCCATCATAACTCAAGTCCCGGCCATGGTGATGGTGTGGGTCGCCATAACAGCCGATGGTCGCTCTCCGCTCGTATTAATCGACCGTGACATCAGAATAAATGCCGAATATTATCGCGAAAATATTCTGGAGTTTGTATTAAAGCTTTGGGACCGCAAACATTTTGGTCGCAGATCTTGGACATTCCAACAGGACTCAGCACCATCGCACTCAGGACGCGCCACCCAAGAATGCTTAAAAATGAGGTTTCTCGCTTCATTTCCAGCGCACAATGGCCACCAAAATCTCCGGATACCAATCCGTTGGACTATTGTGTCTGGAGTATTTTGGAAAGCAAGTTTGGCACTAAAAAATACCAAAGTGTCGATCACCTCAAGCAAACGCTTCGACGGGAATGGGCCAAAATACCGCAGAAGGCCATAATTCGTGCTAAAGGTGACCAATTCGAACAAATCTAAACTTATTCTAAAATATGATGTTATTTCACTAATTGTATAACCTTCACTTAGTTTGTCCCCATTTATTATCTAACATAACATGGTTATGATTCAAATTTTCTCCGCCGATATCTCCTACATTTGGAGTCATTGACTGACACGCGTGAATTGTCTTACAATATGACACAGATCAATAGTATATACTTTTAATGGGTCTTAAAATATTAATATACCTCCCATATCATGCATGTATAGGGCTTAAAAGGAAGGACATTTTCTTCCCATCTTCCAAATTTGAAATGTCTATATTGATCACTCCAAATATAGAGTGAAAAGAACACGTATAAAGCATTTAAGAATTTCACGCAGATCAAGAATACATACATTTTCTATAGAGATGATTATTTCGATGAATTAAGAAAGAAAGGAATGGTGCCAATAAACTTGAGGAATATTTAAACAATTTCCTCTCCCATAAACCATATTATAATATTACACTTTTCTAAAAAATCGAACAAATTGTCTTCTGTTTTTACCCTACATTCGAATGGATGACAGAAAAATGTTTACAAAATTTTCCTTTTCTAACAAAAAACTACTTCCTTTCTATTTCATGTGCGGAAGCAATTTTCAAATACATTTACTCATATCCTTTGCCGATCCCCAGGGGTTGCAGATAATCAAATAAACATTTCTGTCAATAACATTTTTCAAAACTTCAATTTACATGCTGTACGACCTTGGTCAGTTTTTTTTTTTTCAAATTCCAAAATGAGTCATACATTGAGGAATGTGACTTCTGAGTGCATCGTGAAATAATTCCGGAAAAACAATGTGTTGATTACACAGATATCGCGTTGAAAATCTTCTGGTTGACAAGCCAAAACCCATAAACTATTTGGACAAGATATGGCTAAATAACAGAGAATTCCACTTAGCTACATACTCTCCAAGTGAGCCGTGGTCGTCTTAAAGGCTGGATAATACACTTGGCTAAGGCTAAGACTAGTCGAAATGCTATTACGCATTTTGTCATACGAGTGGAAACGCCGGTCTGGCTGCTTAGACTTATTGTCAACCACGTCAGCCGCCAGCCAGCAACAATCCCCGTGCTAGACATTTTGGGAGAATACTGAGAACAGGTAGTCTGCCAGTAAAACTCGGCCTAATGGTGTAATTCTAATTTGCAAAAAGTGTACATGGCCAGTAATAAATCCAACAAGCCAACCAAGAGAGCAGGTAGCCAAATAGGAAGGCAAAGGACAAATCAGGTCCTTGCAATATAAATACTATGACAAAATGGTAAAGTCATCACAGTCAGCAAACAACTAACAAAGATACAAGATCTCAGCAAATATTGCAAGTTATTGGATTTACTAAATAAAACACGATCTAGCCGAAAAACCAACAACCACCACAAAAATGGAATTTTTAAATAACAACACAAACATGACCTTTGAAGAATATTTGACACAATCCCTACAATATCAAAGTGCCAATGTAAGTTCGAAAAAAACTCTAAGGAATAATTTATATAAATTCTAATAATTTTGTTATTATTTTATTTTACAGATTATTGAAAATATTTTAAATGCCCCCATGATGCAGGTGGCGACAACCATACCCTCACCAACATACAGTTGTGAGCCCATTAGTGCACCCTTATCGCCCTCATCCTCCATCGATTCGAAAGGCAAGGCCAAGCGTATACGCACAGCTTTCACTAGCAGACAACTTATCGAACTGGAACGTGAATTTCATGTTAATAAATATCTGTGCCGACCACGACGCATCGAAATTGCCGATCGTTTGGAATTGAGTGAACGTCAGGTGAAAATTTGGTTTCAAAATCGTCGCATGAAGAGCAAGAAAGATGCCACACGTGGGGCCAAAACTTACAATAAATTGCGTTGCCACAGCGTTGGTAATAATGACAATGAGTTTTCCGCTTTGACTCCACAAAATAGCAACATCACCGGCAACAGCAACACGAACAATTTTAGTAATCACATCAACGAATACTCGCAACAACAATATCCAGCCTGTTTACCACAACTGCCGGTGAAAGAGGAATTCCCCGAATGCTACCAAGTGCCACAATTGCCAGCTATTTCTCAGTACTCATCGCAAACACTAAACGACTCCATCTATGTTAACACTGATGCCAACAACTATCAGACCAACCCCGACTCGCCACCCACCTCAATGGAATATTTTGATTCTGCTTTCTATTCATCGGCCGAATCATCCCTTTTCGATAATCTACAACCTCTACCCACATTCAATAACGAAAAAGATGTCTTGGATTTCCTAATGTCGGAGGAAGTTCCCAGCTTTGGAAATACCACCAACCAAACTAATTCGACGGCATCATCAATGTCCAGCTTAAATTCGTCAAGTTTTAATTCCCTAGATTTTGACATGGATTTTGATTTTGTACAAAATCTTCTCGATATGTAAATACAGAGGGGAAGTTCCCTTCTACTGACTTAGTATTAGTTTATATTTATTATAATTATTTATACTGTAAATTAGTGTATAAAATATTAGATATTTGTGCTATAGTATATAGAATATAATGTAAAAAGGTATATGCATTTATGTTATGTCTAAGGATAAGATATAGGATCTGTGTTTAAATACGTATATGTAGTATTGTTTGAAAAATATATAAAAAAATTAATTTTATATTATGCAAATCTTTCTGGGGCAATCGTCTAAATTTCTATTACCAATACTTTTGTAGAAAAATTGAATTAAAAGTGCTTCATATTGATACACTTTTGACATGGTTAAGGAAAAGTAGGACGAAAAAGATTATGAAGTTATCGAGTTTAATAAAAAATATTCTGCAACAAGTAAAAAAGCAGTAAGTTAGGCCGGGGCGAACTTTCAATACACTCCACCATTTGGAACCAATTTGGAAAAGTTCAAAAAATAAAACTCGTTAAAAATTCTGTTAAAATTTTAAAAATACCGAATATAATCGTTATATTGAGGTCTATACGAAGACGTGGACTTGTATAGGCTACTTTTGTCATATGCCATTACAATATTCAAATACGAAACTTGAAAAAAAATCCTCAAAATACCGCATATAAGGAAGTACTGTTATATCGGGGCTATACGAAAACCTGGACTTGCACAGACCTGATGTATGGGGCCTATACGAAGACCTGAGAATTTTTCGTCATAGACTGTAGTTCCCATTATGAACTTTAAATATGAAATTTGGAACAACTCCGGTGCATAATGCAGTTAAAATATTGGGATGGCAATTTATTTGGAGGCTATACGAAGACTTTGGCCTGCATACGCAATTTTTTGTCATAGGTTGTAGTACCCATTTCGAATTCTATAAAGACGTTTCTCTTCCAGGGCGTATTCACAAAGAATTCCTTGTGAGGACTTTAACACAATACCTTAAAAAAGTTTTACTGAAATCATCAAAATACCGAATATAGGGAGGTACCGTTATATGGGTGATATACGATATGGTAGACCGATATAGCCCATCTTCGAACTTGACCTGCCAGCACACAAAAAACCTATCTTTATTCGTTTTGACTTTAGCGTGATTACAACAGACGGACGGATAGGGCTAAGCCGTCTTAGAATTTTACGCTGATGAAGAATATAGAGGGTGAGATGAAAAAACTGCAATCAATTTCAGACTGCTGTAATTTCTAAGCCACTCGTCCTGTTAAAATTATTCCAGTGACAGCTCATTATATTGTTTACAAGCATACAAAAGCATTATGGTGAGAATTTTTCACAAAAAAGTTATTCGTGATGGAGTACAAACGTGATAGTGTGATTTCTTTATATTTGGCTGGAAAATCACAAGTGGGTATCGTTAGAGCACTCCAGCATTTAAATGTGAATAAATCGTTTGTGTCTCGTACCATCGCTCGTTACCGTGATACTGGTAGCGTAGCCCGACGTCAAGGAAGTGGACGGAAGAAAACAGCAACATCAGCAGAAATGGTTCAAAAAGTAAAGTAGCGACTTGATCGAGAACCGCGTCGCAGTGGCCGAAAATGGCTCATGAGCTGAACATATCGCAATATTCTATTCGGGCACTATTGAAAAACCAGCTAGGGGTAAAGCCATTGAAATTGAAAAAAGTTCAAGAACTTACACAGCAACAGAAAGAAAATAGACTCAAAAGGGCTAAAAAGTTGCTTCGCTTGTCCGAAAGTGGTGAACTGCCGAATTTGGTTTTCTCCGATGAGAAAACATTCGTTGTCCAGCAGTTTGTAAACAAACAAAATGGTAGTGTTTACTTGCCAAATAGGTCAGCTGAAAATGTTCACCTTTGGTTGGGCACCAGAACTCAAGCGCTGACCATGGTGATGGTGTAGTCTAAAATTAAATGCTACTTCCGACATTTTTTGCTTTCATTCAATAAAATTAAAAAAAAATGTACCGTGCTTTTTATGCTAGCCTAAGAAGTTTTCGAACTGCGCTCGTACTTTTTAACTTGTCGTTGTTATTTTTAATATTTCAAAATATTTATAATCTCATTAATGCTGTTGTATTTCAACTTCACCATTTTCCGAGTTAATACAATAATAAGTATTAACTTTGGTTACAGCGTCAGAAATGTACCAAGAGCTATTTTCTTATATAAAATTCATAAACTTTTATTAGAGTAGGACATGTCCGTCTCCGCCTACACATTAAATTATATACATATGTGATTTTTCGACATGTTTTAGTCATCTCATTGAAAGCTTAACATTAAAAGCTGTATTCAAGTTTGGAACATGACTGTGCATTGAAGTGATTACAATTTTATAAAATGATTTATATCACCATGTCTCATTCTTTTCACTTTATTCAAATGTTCCAAATTTCATATTTTTCATTATCACCATCGTCATCATTTCCACCATTGACATTAGCATTACACATTGCCTTTTTACCTTTTGGCCAAGCCTGGCGAATTAAAATGGTTTTCATATCTTTTCGTATTATTACTTTTCAAGCACAAGAAGAAATACGTCGTCATCATCCTAGAGCTTTTTGGATAACATCAATGACTTGGCAAAATTACATATGAATCCCTTATGTGTTACACACGTCATCAGCATCTCTATATATCCTTTATGAATAAAAAGTCATATTTTTCAAATATTTAGCCTGAAATATGAATTCCTTATTTAAGTGGGTGTTGGGGTAGAAGCAAGGTGGTGGAGGTACTTCTAAATCTTGTCACATTTTAAAATCAATGAAAATGCGTTGTGTGGTTGCCCTTGCTGAGTAGGTCAAGTATTTTTTACTTGGGACTGACCACTATTTTATATACATTAAAGAAAAGCTACTAAACTATAAGTATCTTACATTGGTGTTTTTGGGTTATTAAAAAGAATTTTTATACATGGGTTCATTAATTTTGGGTTGGATTAAGTTCCACACATTATTTGTGAAGTAATGCACACCAAAACAGGAAATATGATTAATACTGGTGTAACTTCAATGACGTGCTCAATGAGAAACCCCATTTCCAAATAATAGCCACTTCAGGAGGAAGGCTCTTTTTTTTCTAACTGAAGTGGCTATGATTCGAAAATGGGGTTTCTCATTAAGTATGTCAACTAAAAACGCCAGTTCCCCTGGTTTAGGTATTTTTTAAGGATAAATAAATTAATTTTGACTTCAAAATGTCAATGGCCGATTTTGTAAGTTTGAGGACTTTTTAAAGTAAATTTTCCGGATTATAGTATATGCAATTCTGAGTCATTTTATACATTTTTGCGTATGTGGTCTCTACTCTTTACAATAGTAAACATCTGATATGGAATATTTTGCGTGATATGTTTTCTAAAAAACCCTATTTCTGCGTTCACCTTACTTCCATCCGGCATTCGATAGTTAGTGTATCCAGCGTCACCATACAGTGGGGGTTATATTAAATTTGTCATTCCCTTTGCAACAATTCGGAGTCCCAAAAAGAATAAGAATAAAATTATAAGGCGATGTCCTGTCTGTATGTTGAAATCACTATAGACGTTATTATATCTCGAGTTTTTAAAATTTGCACAAATGCTTATATTTCCACGATTTTCGATATTCCGACACAACCAAATCAGCTGAAACTTGACATTTGGGGTTCACGAAATGGTCGTCCTTGCAAAAATGCTGCTATTATACAGGGTGAGATAAAAAACTGCAACAAAGTCAAAAGCCATCATTTTTACATTTATTTTTTAATTTTATTGAATGAAAGCAAAAATGTCGGAAATAGCTTCAACTTTTAGAATAAGTTTAGATTTGTTCGAATTTGTCACCTTTGGCACGAATTATGGCCTTCAAATGGCCAATAAAACCGTCACACTCTGCCCGAATGTTGCTTTGCGGTATTTTGAAGCATTGCGGCGAAGTGCTTGTTTGAGGTGTTCGTCACTTTGGTATTTTTTAGTGACAACCTTGCTTTCCAAAATACTCCAGACGAAATAGTCCAACGGATTGGTATCCGGATATTTGGTGGCCATTGTATTGGAATTGAAGCGACGAACCTAATGTTGTAACCTTTTTTGCGTGGCTCGAGTGCGATGGTGCTGAGTCCTGTTGGAATGTCCAAGGTCTGCGGGCAAAATGTTTGCGTGCCCAAGGCTTTAATACACCCTCCAGAATATTTTCACGATAATATTCGCCAATTATTCTGATGCCACGGTCGATTAATACGAGCGGAGAGCGATCATCGGCTGTTGTGGCGACCCACACCATCACCATGGCCAACATCTGGTGGCCAACCGAAGGTGCACATTTTCAGCTGACTTCTTTGGCAAGTAAACACGATCATTTTGTTTGTTTACAAACTGCTGGACAACGAATGTTTTCTCATCGGAGAAAACCACATTTCGAGCCATTACTGCTGATGTTGCTGTTTCCTCTGTCCACTCCCTTGACGTCGGGAGCTACGCTACAAGTATCACTATAACGAGCGATGGTACGGACGCAAAAGGTTTATTCATATTTAAATGCTGGAGTGCTCTAACGATAGCCACTTGTGGTTTTCCAGCCAAATATAAATAAATCACACTATTACGCTTGAATTCCATCACGGATAACTTTTTTTTTGGAAAATTCTCACCATAATGCTTTTGTTCGCTTGTAAACAATATAATGAGCTGTCACTGGAATAATTTTAACAGCTGTCGGACGAGTGGCTTAGATATGAAGGCCGTCTGAAGTTGGTTGCAGTTTTTTCATCTCATCCTGTATATTAAATTTTGTATATTGGTATTTGAAAATTGGGGTTTGAAAATCCGAATTTTTATTACTGCTAAATATATTAAAACTAGCGTGGAAAATAGAGTATTGTGGGCAGCGTTACCTAAAATTAAATGTTGCATACACAAATATTTAACTTCCCCACTATGTATTGCAAATTCATATTGCCCAAATACGCCAGATCCATTATTATAATCTAACAAATAAATCCGCTGTAAAACTTGATACTTTACATTAATATAATTTTTGCATTGTTCGTTTATAATACAAACAAGTAAGCAAAG